TGAGAAGCCTCGCCCCACCAGCCCTCCACTCTCATTAACGCTCTGTCCGCATTCCGCCATTTGAGACGTCCGTTCGTTGAAGCCGCCGCGGTCGCTCAACCCGCGGCTTCCTCGTCGCGAGCGGCCATGGCCGCAGTAGTTCGGCAACTCTTTGTAGACTTAGATAACTTGAAATTTGTATGACATACACACATCAAGATTCCTGTTCAGTATGGTGGTGTGTGTGGGGTAGAAATTTGAATTTCGGGGCCGAGATCGGTGTCAACTGCTTGGACGACCGGCGATGAACCCCATGATGCCGCCGGACCCGGCGGACCTAAAGGGGCTGACGTCTCGATGCATAGACCGCAGCTACGATTCCCTGTACAACCTCACCACGTCCCTGCCAAACACACCATCCGAGGAGCGCCGAGATGTCGCGCTGAAACAATTGCACGACACATACGCAACCTTCAAGAAACTGTTGGTGCTCACTCGTTGGTCGGTGCAAAGTCCGCTCACCGACAAGTGTGCCGAGCTGCTGCAAGAAGCTCAGACGTTCCAAGACCAGGCCAATGAAACGAACGACCGGTTGTATTTCCTCCATCGCGACCTTGACCGCGCCAAGGAGCGCAAGTATGACTTGACGACTGCGATCGATGTGCTGTACGGCGGCACGTACAACAGGTTGCCTCGTGTCATCAACTACGCGATGCATCCCCGCGAATTCCCACCCGTCGACGAGGAAGCGAGCATCGCCGAGCTCGACGCGGTCCTTCGGTTTCGTCTGATTGAAGAAACTATTCCCGACAAATTCACCGACATCAACGTCCAAGATGGGTTTGTGACTGCTCACGCAGCCGGCGAGTTTGACATGGTGTTCACTGTGGACGGGACCAAACCTGAGAGTCTCTGGCTGGTCGCGAGTGTCCACACCGTGCTGACGGACCCCACAGCGCTCGCCACATACAAACATCTTGCGAGCACGTCCAGCCTTCGCATCATCCAAAGCAACGCGCCAACGGACACACACTACATGCAGCTCAAGATCCTGATCCAGAAGCGACTCAATCACTCGACGACGCCGCTTCTTGACGCGTGCAACATCATGGCCGACTTTTGCTGCAGCCTTGCCCTGCGCATCCTCGACGCTCAAGGCCAACTCTTGGTCGAGACACGATGGCCCCACGGCGTCTCATTCGTCAACCACGACGACGTAAACACCCTCGACATCGTGTACTGGACTGACAACAACACAACGCTGCCGTATGTGCAGTCGTCCGCACCAGGGACGTTTTCGATTGAAGAAATGCGGACCCGCATGCACCCGGATTCGCTTGCGTACCCCACGAACGGGTGCAGCCTTCGCTTGCAACCACGCATGGGCGGGGACTCGCCAGGCTTGTTCAGCCTCCAGCTGTTTCCCGCTCCACCCGCCGCTCTTCTCAAGCGATACCCGACACTCCTCGATCGAGCACTCGCCGTCCCGGCCAACTTGTTCTCCCTCAGCGCAGATCACTTCCTCCTCGGCTCGATGCAAGTGCACGCGGCGTCGGCGTTGTTCTGCCTGGAGCGCCACTTGCTCGTGGATGACAAAACAGTGGTAATCGAAGGCACGTACTCGGAACAGCGGCTCACGACTGGCACAGCGGTCCTTGTGGCCCGGTCGCCACGAACCCTGCGCCTCTCCCGCGTCGACAGCACCGGCTGCACGCCGCTTGAAGTGTCGTGGGACTTGAGAACTGGTCGCTTTGGCGTGTTTTGCTTGGCGAAAGCACCTTCGGTGGTCGTCGCCGTGCGCCACTTGGAGATTTTGCTCCAAACGCGGTGTAAAGTCCAGTTGCCAGGGGTGACTGTCGCGGGCGAGCTTTCTCTGACGTTCCTCACGCAAAACACAGATAGCGACAAGACGACTGTGACAAACGATGCGTCGGAAGTCGTAGCCGCCGTCGCGGCCGTGCTGCGCCAAGTGGTGGCGTCTGAGCTGGTCACGTTTGCCTCGTCCTGCTCCAACATGCATGTGGCGCGCGTGCGAGATCGACACGCTGCTGCCATCGACTCTCTCGGCCTGTCGCCTGACGCCATATTCGTTCAGCTCGTGCGAAGCAAGGACGCAGCGGTGTTCTTAGTCGTGGAGCTCGATAGATTTAGCCAGGACGACGACGCGCCTCAGCGACCGCTTCGACGACGCCACGTTGGTTCACTCGACCTCGTCGATGAAGACGACGAGTACATTCGGTCACCTGTGTTTTCCGTGGTGCAACTCGCGGACCGTTCTGCGCTAGCGTCGACGACGTCCGTGCGCTTCTTCGAGAGGTTGCCTGTCGTTCGCCGCACGGACGTCTTTGCTGGCAGCGGCACCTCGTTTGGATCGAGAAAGCGCAAGCGCCGAGATCTGCCGTTCTTGTCGGCGCTGCTTGTTCACATGGCCGCGCTCGGCCACCAACGAGCGCACTGGCACGCCATCGACGCGTTTGCTAGAAAGTACAATGCGTCGTTGACCACTTCAACAACCTTGTCCCGTTGCAAACAATTCACCGACTCGACGGTCGACGGGGCGTTGGACTCGAGAGCGTTGCTGCCGTCCCGTCCCTCATCGATCGTGGCGGTGTCAATCCCGTTTCCAGACCGCATCCAGACGAATCCACAGCTTGCCATACACAGCTTGGAAGCGCGTCTGGTGTGCATTCATGGTTCCACGGCGTCCAGCACTGCCGAGATCACAATGCGCGTGGCAGCGCCTCCCTTTGCGTACGTCTTGTTGGCGCCGACCCTCGCTTCGCACGTGCCGACCATGCGCGGAAGATCCTTCACTTGCGCCGCCCGACCGAACGGCGACCTCGTCTACCAATCGAGTTCGACGAACCACAAATTCCAGGCCAACTTGATCGATGTCGTGGTCGCGAACGTGATGCTCCATGTAAAACCCATGGCCGATCTCGGCCGTCGGCTCGAGCGGACCCTTGGCGCGCTGATGAGGTACCGATCCGCGCCGGCCGGACATTTTTACGCCGAGCGCGCCGACCCGTTCAAGTTTACGCTGGCATGCCAGACGCACGAAAACGCCGTCGCCCGCATTCACATCGAGCACAAGGTGGTCCACCAGTTTCCCCGTGGGGCGTTTGTCCTGACGAGTTCCCCACATCATGTGCTTCTACCGTTTTTGCAAGATGCGTTCAACTCACACAAGTCGTCGGCGCAGTTGTTGGAAGTCCTAGAGCGGACGACGGTCCCGCTGACCATGCTCTCGCGCGCGATGGCCGCCCATTCGGCGGCCAAGACGACGTTGACAGGGTCGTCCGCGGAGGCGGGGCTCGAGAATCCGTACCCAACCTTTGTGCCATCCAACCTCGTTCTCGTACCTCGGTCGCAGACGCACCTTCGTCTTACGTATGGCGACCGATGCGCAGTGGACGTGATCTTCTTGGCGGTGCGGCTCTACAATTGCATGATGTGTGGGATGGACGCTTGGATGTGAATGGCGTGACCGATGGGCGTGACTGAATTCCACACGTTGTAGGACCACCAAATCAAAATTCAATGCGCCCCGGCCAGCTTGGTGCCTGTCCCGAGCTATTCCAAGCCCGGGGGAGCCACTGTCGACCGCGCCGCGTTCTACGATACCCTCCGACTGTCCCTTTTCCCTGAGATGGCGGCGGTATGAAGGCGGCTTTGCCCAGCACTGACTGCTTCGTGAGTTGGAGCTGCATGTTGGTTGACGGGGGCCGTGTGCACCAAAGAGATTAATATATGCGAAATGGCCCATTTTTGAAGAATTTTTGGGATAGATTTTCCAACGAACGATTATAATAGTTGAGGAACATATACATACTGAAGGAATGCACTGTAGATACTTGGATATTTGAAGAAAGTAATAGAGTATTTTCCCCACACAACGTCACCATTTTTGGCGATCGTGGGAAAATGGCGACGTCCGCGGAATGGCAGTACATGAAGACGTTGGTACCGCCGCATTATCCGTGCGTGCGGCGATCAGGGGACACGTCGCAGCGCATGGTGCTTGACGGGCGCGTTGACAAGGATGAGTGGGCGCATGCGCAATGGACGGACACGTTTGTCGACATCGAAGGACCGGCGAGGAAGGTATCAACTCTTGACACCCGCACTACCTTACCACACAGTCTTGCCATACACATATAGCCGAACCCGGCTCAATCTACTCGCGTAAAGATGATGTGGGACGACAACTATCTGTACGTTGGCGCAGACATGGAGGAATCGAAGGTGTGGGGCAACTACACGGAGAAGAACACGACTATGTACCACGAGAATGACTTTGAGATCTTTATCGACCCCGATGGCAGCCGCCACAACTACTAGTACGAAGCTCAAACGCCTTGGAACAACGCTCGACGACATCATCGCTGACCTCTTCCTAGCGAGCTTGAGATGAACTGCCTGAACACGATATGGGAACTCGCGCTCATGCGACCTTACAAGGATGGCCACTCGATCGTCAACCCGTACAATCTCACAGACATCCACTCTGCTGTTTATATTGACGGCGTCCCGAACGATCCAACCGTCACATGCAAGAAGTGGACCGTCGAAGTTGCGATCCCGTTGGCGGAACTCGTGCACTTTGATGAGCGCCGCCACTGCAAGGTACATCGTCCCACGGAAACGCTCTCGTTGGCAATCTTCATGATGCGCATGACAGGTCCAAGCCGGAGACGTGTGGCGAATGAACTTTTCTCGTGTCCATTACGACCTTCTCGTCGAAAAAGGCAAGGTCCGAACGAAAGCGTGCATGTCGTCCCGTGGAAAGCCCATCTTTCTCGTAGTACGTCAAAGTCCCGGACCGCCGGGAATACAACTTCGTGTGGGCTCCGACGGGGGTTATCGACATCCATCGTCCTGAAAAGTGGGCGTACGTTGCATTCCTCGGCACAACTGCGGTGGACTCGTCGGAATGGCAAGCGCTGCGGTGAGTGCTATGGCATGTTGAAGCGTCGCGGCCGTATGGCGCCAACCTTGATCTGCTCTTTGACCACTTGATGAAAGAGGATGCATGATAGGTCGGTATTGACCGCAACCGAAGCTATTCAAGCCCAGCTCAACCAAGTATACTACGACCAACGAGCATACCATGACATGCATGGGCACTACGCATCGACGCTGGACGAGTTGCATCCGTCCACGGGAATACAGGGAGCGTCCATGACGATGGAGGTAGCAGCGCTGTAGTCGATGTCGCGACAGATATCATGGCCTCAACGAATGTCCATGTGTAGTGTGCGACAGACATGCAATCGTATGTCGTGGCCGTCGCAGCGGCCGAGGGTGTGCATCGAATGGCGCATGACGCCAAGTACACCTTCGTCGACAGCGAGTAAGGCCGCCGCATGCGTCCCAACGACGAAGCCAAGGCCCACAGCCCGTCCACGTCACAGTCCGTCCATGCAGCATTTTGAGCGACCGACCGAAATAGCTGGCAATTCGCCATTTTCGCCAATGTTCGGCACGACGTAGGAGAGGTGACATTTTCGACCTCTACCATGTAAGCATTTGTGGTTTTCAATTGTGTTCATGTTTGGTTTGGACGTTGACGGGTTAGGTAAACCGTCCTGACCAGATTCAACATCCGTCGTTTCTGCAAAAACGTCGAATATTTTGGCGAATCGTCACAAGTGTATCAAGCATCACGTGACCTCGGTAGTGTGATGGACAGCTGCACGAGCGCCTTCGCCTCCCGTGCACGATGTCGCCGCAACGCATTTTGGTCTATTGCCGCTCCTATTTCACTGCGGCGGGTTCGAACGACACCGTTGAGATTGACCTGCTGTGAGGTACTGTCCAGCACCTCGTCATCGCCACCTGCATCTTGGCACAGGTTCAACCCGAAATAATGCATAGAAAAACCTATATTATTGCATGGTGTTATGTATTCCGACCACATTTGGACAGGTGGTGGACTTTCAGGTATTTTTGACAATTTTCGTGAAAAAATCGTCGGATTTTTGCGAATTGTCCACATGCTCGTCGCTAGTCTTCCCGCACAGGCAAGGCAGATGGCCGAGTGAGTAATCCACTCGATGCGCAGAGTCCACCCGTGCCCAGTGCGCATCAACCCTGTGGCGGGTCACACCGCACCGCCATCGGCACTTCACAATCCGTTCCCTTCGTCGACATGGACATTCAGTATGCGTTCATCATGATGATGGTGGCGGTCTTGGTGATTGTAGTCGTGGCATCCCATTTCTCCAAAAACTGGTGCCCCCTCGACGGAATGGGAGAGCATGGACTGCACAGAACGCGTGGGTACGAGCGCCCATCCCGACGGTCGTGGTGCTTCACTCACTTGCTTGTTCAGGAACTCGGAATTTATGCCGGGATTGCAGCGCGCCGACATTGAAGAGCTGTATTGTGATCCAATTCAATCGTCGACGCATTGGCTCATTCCGGTGGATGTAGGTTGAGCGATGCAAATCGATGGGAATGCGCTATTTGTGCCTTCAGCAACATCGCGACAAAACCTACATGTAGTCTGTGTGGCGGGCTCCAAGAATCGACCTATCTCGAGCATACACTGGAGGAGGTCGATTACACGTTGCTGAGCGATCGTCCGCGACCCCGCAGCTACCGCGACGCATTTACACCTCAATCGTCATCTCGATCGTCTCTCTCGATGCGGGGAAGCAAAGGCAAGATGACTTTGGTCCAGACGTTCCACCGCATGTCGTCGTTTTCCTTCCACAAGCTCGTCGAGCCGGGCGAGCTGACCTCACGTCAACGTAGCGCACGGTATAAAAGCGTCCCGACTTGTGCCGTCCTCATAGTGGAATTTCCCTCGTAGCATGCGCAAAGAATGGGTGCGGAAGCTCGACACAAAGGAACGACCGTACTGGAAACGGCGAATCCTCGACGCGACGCGGGTCGTTCCGGCGTTCATGGTGCAGATCATGTGGTCTACCGATCGATTTCACGCACTTGAATTTATCCATCGCCATTGGAACTACTCGACCGTCTTGGGCACCTTGGACGAGGAAGACACGATTGTCGTCCTCGAAGATGGACATCCTCCTCCCCACATGGACGACATGGCCATGCTGCACGACGGCGACGACGAAGTGAAGCACATTGTATATCTTCCCGTTGAAGCAGTGCACGCGAACCGCACGATCCTCGGTGACGCTGTCATGCCGTCCTTGTGGAAGCATCTCCATCAACTGTCCCGCCTTCCGTTCTCGTTCAAGTACAAGTGGTACCTTCATCAAGCAAGCACCCTCATGCAACCATATGACAAGGGGTACCTTCATCTTGTTTTGATGGCGGCTGACGATGCCGTGGGGACTAGCCATTGCAAGATGAAGGTCGCACGCGACTGTGTGTTTGAGGAAGCTGTCGAAAACATCGTGCATCTCAAGCAACACTCGCTCTGTTCGATCATTCGCATGCAGTTCACGGGCGAGAGCGGCTTGGACGCTGGGGCGATTCAGCGAGAATGGTGCAGCCGCAGTGTAACTTGCCATGGTGTTGGGCATGACGGTTCGTATGCAGGTATCTCCTCGTGGCGCAAGGCTTCATGGACGACGCGTCTGGGCTCTTCATGGTGACCAATCGCGACGACAACGCGTACTTTATCAACCCGAATGCCGCCTACCTCGTCGCAAAACACCGACAGACCCAACAAAGTAACGTGCCGCATCAAAAACCCGCCATCTCGCACACTCAAGCGTTCCTTGCTGCGGGGCGCTTCATCGGCCGCGCATTGCTCGACGGCCAGATGCTCCCCTTGCACTTTTGCCCCGTCTTGTTCAAACGTAAGGTTCCCATTTCGCCCCACTCATCATGGCAGGATTGATCCAACGGTGCTTCGGTCCAGTGCTCCTTGGCATCCCCGTCACGCTAGATGACGTTGAAAGCATGGACAAGACGGTGTACTCAAGGTAAGATGTTTCCATGCCTGCTTCTCGAGACTGACCGCCATCAGCCTGCGGTATGTCCTCAACCACGGCAATGTGGAAGACCTGTGCTTGACGTTCTCCGCAACCGAGCACCAAGACGACACGGTGGTCGAAGTCGAATTGATTGACGGCGGACGCGATATTGCCGTGACGGACGCCAACAAGCACACTTACGTCGACCTCATGACCCGCTATCTCTTGTTCGATCGTGTCGAGGGCTCGCTCAAGGCGATGATTGAAGGGCTGTACGAAGTCGTGCCGCCGGAGCTTCTCATTCCATTTGACCACAAGGAGGTACGGCACCTTCCATCCACAATCGCACGTTGGACGACGCATTAACGACACGTTCTTGCCGTTCCCGCAGTTTGAATTGATATTGTGTGGGCTGTCCGATATTGACGTGCGTGACTGGAAAGCCAACACGGTGACATCGTCCAACTTGCATGGAGCGACGGCGCTTGAGGTAAAATTCCAACTCCATGACGATGAACAGTTGGCCGAATCTCCTGTGTAGTGGTTCTGGGAAGTGGTCGAAGCTATGGCCCCGGCTGACCAAGCCAAACTTTTGCAGTATTCGACCGGCTCGTCCCGCGTCCCAGTGCAAGGTTTCAAAGGTATGCTGCGCAAGACTTGTTGCGGACTTGACCTCATGATGGGTTTCCTTTAGGCCTGACTAGTTACGATGGCAAGATTTGCTACTTCACCTTGAAAGGCATCACGTACATACCTGGATGTTACCCGTGTGCCCATGCTTGCTACAATCGCATCGACTTGCCACTGTATCCCAGGAAGGACTTGATGGAAGAAGCGCTCAAGATGCTTCTTCTCTCGGACCCCACGGGCTTCAATATCGAATAGGAAGCACCTCGTATTTAACGCCCACAGTGGTGGCATTGTGGGTGCACATGCACTGCCATCACCACGTCTTCGCCAACTTCGTTCTCAATGGAGCTAGTGGAAGCTACGTGTTGTGCGACCTCAAGTAACCCTCTCATGAAAAAAGCATCCATTTGTCAGGAATCCAATCTTGAACTCAAGCGGCGGGGACTACCTGAGCACCGGTTCGAGCTCGACAAATGCAAATGCTGTTGCGGCACGAGCGTCGAGCCCCACGACAACGGAGCGTACGGTGCTGTCCATAGGCACTGTGACGTCTTTCGCCTTCCTCCAGGAGCAGCACGCGCCATTATCACCGCGATCGGAGGACGAGTCTTCCCGCGTTCGAGGATCAAGATTTGGAGGGCCGAATGTGCGCGAAAATCACACTTAGTTTTTGAATAAGCATACAAACATTAAGATAGTTTCCAAGGCATAATCCATGTGTGGTGAATGTTTGAATTGATTTTAATCGCGTTCCAAGGAAACGACGTGAAGAGCGGACGACGACCGGCGATCGATCGCGAGGATACCTTGATACGAAGGAAGAGAAGGACGACTCGAGGTGCGCTAGATGATGGAAACAAATGCGCCACAGATGGACCTTCGTGACGTGGTCTCTCGATGCATCGAGCGAAGCTACGACTCGATTCGGACCTTGGCGGCAGCTCTACCCACCATGCCCAGCGTCACGGACAGGCGAACACAAACGTTGGCGCAGCTCGTCGACGCGCGCATTGTATTTGAGAAACTTCTGGCGACGACACGATGGTCCGTGCAGACACCGATTGCAGAACAATGCATCGAAGTCCACCGGCACATTAAGCACTTCGACGACCAATTTTACGAAACCCACGACAGATTGCGACACATGCATGCCGCATTGAATGAGCTCAAGGTACCACACTACGATCTGAATGGCGCAATCGATGTTTTGTACGGCGGATCGTACTCTCGGCTGCCGCGGGTGATTCACCACGCAATGCAACCCCGGCGACTTCCTCCCATCGATGAAGAGCACAGCATTCAAGAAATCAACGACACAATCCGATTTCGCATGATTGAAGAAATCATCCCTGACCAATTCACGGACATCACCATCGCTGACGGGTGCGCGACGACTTTCGTCGAAGGTCAATTCCAATTCGTCTTTACAGTAAACGGCAACGAGCCAGACAGTTTATGGCGCGTCTTGTCGGTCCATACTATCCTGACTGATCGTTGCGCGCGCATCAAGTTTTGTAAAGGCGTTGGCATGAACAACTTGCGCGTGATCCTGGCCAACGCCCCCACGGCCGAACACAACGACCACTTGAAGAACTTGGTGCAAAAGTGCGTGAATAACTCGTCGTCTCCACTTGTAGCAGCTTGCGCGGTCTTGCTTGACTTTTGTAGTCGCATGGCCCTGCAGATTGTTCTTGCGCAAGGCCATGGCCTCGCACAGCGTTGGCCAATGGTGGACTTTCGGCCCGTCGCTGATCATGCGTTGGACATTTTGTACTGGAAAGGTTTGGTCAAAGCAGCCACAGCCAAACGCCCGGCATCTCCATCGAATGCGGACCTCGACGCGGCTCCGCTAACATCGGGCGCACCGCCGCTCATGTCGACCGAGACGCTGTCCGTTCGATTGCACTCACATGCTGGAAAAAATCCTCCACGCGGCGGCGCGTTGTTTTCCATCCAACTCTATCCGTCACCGCCACCCGAGTTGCTCGTGCTGTACCCAACTTTGCTTGAACCGCTGCGCGTCCCAACCAACCTGTACAAACTTAGTGCGGAGCAAGTTTTGCTCGGGGCCTTGGAACTCCACGCCGCAAGCGTTCTCTTTTGCCTCGAACGCAAACTAGTCCTTGGAGCAACCGTGCCATTACATCTCATGACGGGCGAGGCGGTATCGGTCGTACGGTCGCCGCGGAGCTTTCGCATTTCACGAATGGATAGCTCAGGGCAAGCGCCACTTGAAGTGTCGTTCGATGTCCGATCCGGCCGATTTGTCGTGTTATGTTTAGTAGGTGCGCGCTCTCGCCTCGTCGACAGCGCGGTGAATCAACTCGAAACGGTGCTGAACACTCAGTGCAAAGTGCAGCTGCCAAGGGCATCTGAAGCGTCGATTTTTCCATCTCATGTCGGCAGCGGCGGCGGCGGGACGACTCGAATGCTCGCGCTCGAGTTTGATGACGAGAGCGTTGTGCACAAAGCGCTCGCCTTTGCACTGCGCGAAATCGTTGCGTTCGAGCTCACTTGCTTTGCCGCGTCGTGCGCCAACGTTGAAGTCCAGCGTCACGTCCAGATCAATTGGGACAAGTATATTAATTTTCGCCAGCAGACGGGCAACAGCATCGACTCTCTGTCGCTGTCTCCACACGCGCTGTTCTTTCAAATCGTACGCAACAAGGAGTCATCCGGGTACTTGGTCGTCGAGTTTGATCGATTGGCCGACATGGAGAGCGACATTGCCCACGAAGACGATTGGGTTCGGTCGCCGGCTTTCTCGCTGCTTCAACTGCAGACGTCGACGATTCCGTGCGCGGTGCAGTTTTTCCAGCGGTTTCCCGCCTTTCGAAAGGATGCTATCCCCATGCCACCCACACCACCTGCGTCGATAACGCCACCATCAGCAACTCCACCCTCGAAGAAACGAAAGCTCGCCGTCGACGTGACCCTTCCCTTCGTCTCGAATTTGTTCTTGCACGTCATCAGCCTCTGTCACGAGCGCATTCAACTCCAGCACTATGTCAACTTTGCCCGCCGGCGACGCGTCAAGATTAAGTACGCTGGACAAGGCGGGACAGCGCTGGCAGGCGTGACCACGGGCGAGCAGATCGTGTCGTTCCCGTTCCCGGATCGGATCCCCATCACGCCATTAAACATCAAAGCCGTCCATGGCCACTTGCGCAAGTGCGGCGGGTTTGAGATGTGCGTCCAGTTGGTGGCGGCCCCATTTGATTTCATAATTCCGTCGTCGGGCACCCCTGCACCGACAAGTGCAAGCAGCAGCACGAGCCACTCAGCCACGTCCAGCGGAAACCTCATATTCCGCTATCCTCACGTTCAAAAGTTCCAGCCAGACAATCCACTCGAAACGTTCATGGCGGAATTGATCACACGCGTGAAACCCATGGCCGATTTTGGCGTCAAGCTCCAGCGAACCCTGAGCGCTGTCGGACGATACTCGTCGTCGTCGGAAGGGATTCGAGATCATTTTTACGTCGAGCGCGCCGACCCATTTGGGTTTGTGCTCGCGTGCCGCACATCCAACCCGAAACGGTGTGTCGCCGCCGGCTCGACGGCCGACAACCTCATCACGTACCGCGTCACGATCGAGTACAGCTCCAACCCGAACAGTCGATTCGTGCTTAGCAGCAGCCACCAAGCCGAACACCCGCTTCTCAATTTCATTCAGACCGCGTTCAACCTGCACATGGACTCGGCCCAGCTGCTCGAAGCGCTCGAGCGTACCACCATCCCGTTGGGGATCTTGTCGAGTGCTGTGAGCTCGCAGCTGATCTCAGCAAAATGTTATCGCCACGACAATGCGCAGGTACACATTCGATCCTCCTGTGACCATGCATCATTCCATGCTGGGTTGTATTTCAAATCTCTTTTCTTGACATTTTTTGACCACCAGGACAAACTGCCATCGTCGGGTGGCCCCGCGTCGCATGGAGGAGGCATGGGCAAGAAAGGCGGCAAGGGTGGCAAAGGCATGCGACTCGGGTACAAAGTCAAGCTCCCGGGTGAAGAAAAAGGATACTACGCGGAAAAATCTTACGGCGGCGACGATAAGTCGTTCGTCCCGGCGGAACTGTTGCTAATCCCGCGGTCCCAGAACCACATTCGACTCACATACGCGGACCGATGTGGCATCGACATCTACTTTCTAGAGGTCAGCGCCATCACCACAAACGTGCCTGTATTCTGCCACGAAAGCTCACACGACTGATGGAATTCTGCTCGCGCCCTTGTAGAACGAAATGGTCAACTTGCGAAGTGCCCCTTGTGGAGCGAGAGTCCCGTGTTGCAGCGCGGACGGCGGGATTACTGTGACCCACGCAGCTTTTGGCGACCGATTAAGAAGCGTCGTGTTCCCAGAAATGGCGTCGCTATAACCCACGTGTAAGAAGTATTGTTATTCCTCTATCCCTCGTGGTCTTTGGACCCGCAACATCTTCTTCCCTGCATCCCGAGCGTTCTTCGGCCCTGCACCTGGTCCTCCCGTCCAAGCCAATCAACAAGACCATTCCCATCATGATGGTGTCGCCCCAAGTTGGGTTGTACCGTGCAACAACACCTCAAGCGGCGATTTCCACGAGTGTGCAGCCGCATTATGCTTCTTCATACTGGACCATCTCGGAATGCGGGGCCGCGGCTTGCGAGTCTTGGAAAAAGGGTTTGTCCTGCCTTTTGGTCGGTGGACTCTGGGCTGGCTTCGCTGGAACGATCTACGCAATTCCCAAGTTGTAAAGATTGTCATCAGCCCAGCGTCAAGCGACATTTGTATCAACAACAGTACGTCGTATGGGTAATCCATCGAACACGATTCATCGCCGCCCATGTCCCCGAGCAGGTGCTCCAGTTGCGTGAGCGCGCCACGTTCATGGTTTTCGCGCTCAGGTGGTTTCACGGGGCAGTGCTCTTGACCGTCGTCTTGAGAGAGACCTCCCTTGGTTGCGCCCACAACTTGCGACATTTTGGCTGCGCTTGGAAGTCCCGTTTCGTCCTCATTGCGAATCGAGTCGAGACTCTTCCGCTTCTTGGACAGGTCGGGCGCGTCTCCCCGCCGCGGCTGGACGAGTGTGGGGTACGGTTGAAACATGGCTGCACTTGCACTCGTGACGAGCCAGTTGGCGTCCACCACCGGCACCTTCCACTCGACGGCTTTGATGTACTTGGGCCCTTCATGCAAAAATCCATCATCGCAATGCCAGCATTGTCACTCGATGTACCGTCCGGAACCCGACACACGAGGTGGGTGTTGCGCTTGGAAAACTTGGACGTCAATGTCGCCCCGCAAAGTCGAAGTAGACACGTGAGCACGGAGCGCTCAACGCCCATAAACATGGAAATGCACGCGTGCATGCGCCTACATCAGGACGTCGATGACCGAATGCTAGCCACAGCATCCAACGGCCATGACGTGCCTACCCAAAGCAAGCTAATGGCAGCGTGGGGAGCACACTGGCATGAGTGTTCGGGGAACACACGAACAGTTCATGCTTGCGCCGGGGGTAGATCACGCCGTCCTTCCACCACGTGCAGAGATTCATCGAGAGACGAGGGTACGAGTGGAGTTGTACCTGCAGACAGCAGTGGAGCCACAGCTCCGTCACGAGCTTGGCGCGCGGCATCGATGCGCACAGCGATGGCAACATGCCGTCCGGAAGGTCGCACCCGTGCGCCAACACGATGTGCGTGATGCGGGTCATGTCGTTTGGCTGCAAAATGCAAGGGTCCGTCGTGTTGAGCTCGCGATACCTGCCCCCCACGCCTTTTATTTGTGTCTTGAGTGCCAAGTTCTACTCGCACACATCCATCTTGACTCGACGTCGCCCCAGAAGCTTACCCCTGCAGACCCCAGCGCATCCGTGAACACGAGGAGGAACATGTGCCCGCTAAACAAGAGCCTCGGGTTGGTCTATGAAATATCGGTGGACATGCCATGTCGACCCAGTGACGATCAAGCTCACGTCGGTCGGTTTGAGCGGCGGTGCAAAGGACGCCGTGGCGGTGCTGGTGGCCACGTGTAATCTATCTGCAAGCGTTCCAGGCGGCTTGACGACTGTCCCTGGTTTGTGCAGCGCGACGGTGTAGTCGGTTTTGATGTGCGGCGGCGGATATTGGTCTTCTGGCAAACACGACCCTGCCAGACAGCTATTGATGAGCCACGTCGCCGCCACAACGTCCATGTTGCCATGCGAATCTTGGAGTTGCCGGCACGACCTACCACCGGTCCATCCTACATGAGCACATTTCGCCATGGAAACCAGGACGAACCCCATAAAGTCGGCCACGATATGCGTGACAGTTGTGTTGTACGTGTCGTAGCGAGTGCCCATTCCAAATCGAATGAGGGCCTTGAGCTTGGTCGTGACGTCGGGAGGAAATCCTGTGAGCCAAAAAACACACCCGTCGAGAAAACACCCTGCCGGACCAAGTTATACGCGCAGCACGAAAGGGATTCGAGCCTAGACTAGATCACAGGACGTTTAGGTACCTGGCGGCTCCCCATCCAAAATGGTCAAGCACTGCTGCAGCTGGTCGTTCAACTTGAGGCATGGCAAGGTCCCATCGTCCATCACGCCAACGTTGGGCCCCATCTCGACTGGGTGCTCCTGCACCCGATATGCGTCTTCGTCCTTGTACTCTACAGCATCCAAATGGCAGAGCATGACCGCGACGACTTGAACCGAGGCATCGTGATGGGACCAACGAACCTTTGGCCTGGACGCACGCAACAATCCAATCTAATGTGACGACAGGAATGCCGTATGCAATGGCGGTGTTGTACTTGGCGCCTTCGGGCTCCTATGATGCCAGGACAAGGTGGATGCACAGAGTGCGGACGATTCAAACACAAACTTCTGCGAGCAAGTGCGTGGTCGTGCCGAAGTTGAGATCTGGGTGGTAGATGCCTCCAGCAGCTTCACATAGCTCTTGCACCTTTTCTCGATCTTCGACGTACAAGCCTGCCAAGGGCACCGCGTGAGCAATGGCCACATGTGGCGACGAACCTGTCGTGCAAATGCACAAGCCTTCCAGCGGTCCCAACTCGTATTGGTCCGTGGGTAGGACCTTGGCCGCTCGGGAACACTCTTTGAGCCAATCCAGCTTGACGACTTTCATCTTGGCTGCCTTGGCTGCTTTGTACTTTGCCGACCCGACCACCACCGCCAAGAGGTGTGTGACGCCGTCGTGCAGGTCGTCGTCCCAGCGCATGCCAAGTTGCGCCACAATGGACTTGGACACGATGATTTCTTCGGTGGTCAGTCCTGTGCTGCACACTGTATACTGGAAGAAGACACGCCATCAGGATCGTCGAGCCACGCATCACATCGCACCTTGGACGCATCCGCTTCCATGATGCCGCTGCTGCTTGCTATCCGGACTGGTCGAGATATCCGGATACCCAATCGACGCGGGGTTTCCTTATCCAAGTACATGCCTATGTGTCCAAGCATCCGGAAACAGCGTCTTTTGGGTGTTGTATGTGTATCCGGATGGCGTGGGCCAGTTTTTTCTCGCGACTTCCTTGAATCCAGAAAGTGGCTCCTCGGAGCTTCGCCGGACGCACTCCCCGAACACCTTGCCGGACGCCGTGTCGCGACGGAATGAGTATGGCTGGAATGAACGGGATTCAGATCGCGATGACGAACTCGACTTTCGAAGACGCGAACGAGTGCTCCGTGTGCTTGAAGGGGTTCTATGCCTTTCGACATAAACATCGATGCAGAGTACATCAAGCGATGCATTCGCGGACACTGACACGATCCATGTAGACGTGCGGCAATGCCGTGTGTCGATCGTGTGCGTCGTCCCAGAAACGGGTAACGTCCCGCGCGCCCAAGAACGACTCGTCCCGCGTCTGCGACAAATGCGTACGTCAAGAAGAAGAAGAGCTAAGAGAACGAATGCGTCTCCTCGCCATTGAGAACGCACGCATGAGACAACTGGCAGAAATGGAAGCCCTCCAGCGCCAAGCGATGGAATCGCAACGAGCACTGGCGGAGGAAGCCGCGCGACAAAAGGTACGGCGACACTGTCCCAACATCACTTCCCCCACAATGCAATACAGCAAGCAGCATACGATGCTCTCGTGACCAAGCACTTTGGAGACGACGCGTCGTCGGCGAAACAAATATTTCAGCGACGTCACAGCTTTGCCGACATCCAGGCTTCCCCTCATTTTGGTCAAGATCGAAAGGACTGGGTGCTGAGCTTGGTGCAACGCGCCGACGACGTTCACTTGTACGTAGTGGCACTCCCTCTGCGCTGGGCCATCTTGGTCGGGCTGATCGAGTTGGGCGTAGCGCCGTCGAGAAATCGCCCATGATCACCCAAGTGGAGTCCGTGGCGGAAGAGTGCGCGATTTGCTTAGAAGTCCTCGAAGCCGGCAATGCCATTTACACAACGGCGTGTGGCCATTCGTTCCACTGGAGTTGCTTGAAGGAGATTAAGCAATCGTCGTCCACAAACTCGGACTATTGCCCTTCCTGCCGGTACCGTCGTGACATGGCTTGAATACTTTGCCAACGAAGAGGTGCTCCAGGTCCGGCCTGACTGAAGTCCAGATCAAAAAGAAATGCGACCATCCTCGAGTCCGTGCAACGCACAAGTTTTGCCGCGACTGCGGTGATCCCGTGACTGCGGCAGATGTCAAGCCACGCCCTGAAGAAGCTGGATCAACTCTTCCTCGTCAGCAAACGCCAGGCCAACCTCCTTCAGGGGGAGCCCTGAGCGGCGCGACGTATCGAGCTGGCTCACAAGGCGCTTTGGTTCAATGCCCGCAATGTCGAATTCAAATGCGGGTCCTGCCGCATATGTACAACATGTACGTTCCGAAGGTTGCTCGTAGGAAACCTATTGATCGATGAACCTTTGTAGGCGAGTGGCATGCCCTCAAGGACACATGTTTCAAGTGCAAGTGGCTCCGACGTCCGGTGGAACGATGAATCGTGCACCCGTGCACAACCCGAATACTCGTGGTGGCTACCCTGGAACATCTTACAACCGCGGATGATAATAACACTCAAATATAACCCTTGTGTCCACCTTGTCTTAACGTGATATACGCCATGAAGGTCGTCACAATGTTTCGTAGACGAATTGCTTTCGTTGCGCCACCTTATCCTTGTGTTTGTAGAAGTTTGGTTGCCTCTTGTTTGAAGTCTCGGATCGCTTTGATTTTCGCTTTTTCTTGCATTTGCTGGACGTCTTTCATCGCATTGTCGTGTATATTTCGCACGTGCCTGAAAGGCATACAGGACAATGAGGATGGTGGTAACGGCCATCAAGAAAGGCACTATACTCCATTTCGTCGGTGACGGCATCTGTCATTCGTTTCAATCGTTTGGTTGAATTCTCGTATATGGCGTCGTTTACTTTGTAAAACGATTCCAACTGTCGGTTCGTTTCATCGATTTCAACGTCGATTTGCTCGATAAGTCGCTCGTATTTGACGCGCATCGACTCCTCAATGTCTTTCCTAGTGGCAAGCAGGTGTGCCTTCAACGTCTTCTTCGCATGGCGAATCAACGGATGCACGGGTGCTGTAGCTTCGACAATCTCGACAGGGGACCAATCTCGCTTAGACTCCTCCGCACACTTCCCGAGGGATTCTTTGTCATGTTTTCTGCTCCTTTGCTTCCTGCTGTTGTCCATGACGCGGGTGTGTTCTCGTCCAGGTGAATTTGGAAATGACTTCAACACAAACCTGTTTTTTATTTTATTTCATCTCATTACATACATTTTGGAAGTTCCGTTCACGCAATACAATAGTTTTCAAATTTGCGCGCGAAGAATCCATACAAAAACCTCAAGCAACCCACGCGATGCATGCTCGTCAATGGCACGCGGAATGGACAAGTCCACCACCGTCGCGCCGCGAGATGTAGGTGATGAATATTGCTCAACGATGACGAATTGCCATGTCAGGATGCCATGGGATTGCTCAGAGCCGAACGAAACGAGGATGCCCCGTCTCCAAGAACAAGATCTAACAGCCATTCCTGAGTCGTGTCAAAGCAGCGCTTGCTGGGTTCGCACAGGTGATCACCTTGACTCAACACGTTCTTGACCGAATGCGACCTGCTGACAGGGTCACCGATGCCAAGTCATGCACCAGCTCTAGAGGTTTGGAAATGGATGCGTGGCTTGGCGTCACCGTGTAGTCTTGCTGCAGATTGCTCAACAGACCCACCAAAACAACTTGTGGAGGTATTTGGACGGGCCATCCACAGTCAGTGAACACTTTGCTGCTCGAGTGCAACCCTCGCGAGTGGAAATGGTCGAGGCTTCATCCTCAACGCAATTTTCAGATGTGGTACGGGTCTACCCTGCAAGTAGATACAACTGACTGCCTGTCCACAACGATACTTGTCTGATTGTCCTCAGGACGAATGTATAGCGACATGTACTTCTCTTATCCATGCGCACACAATTGCCGCCACAGTAATGAGAAGCTCACAGTCTGCACGGCTTTGCAAACCGACTTCAATGAGAGCCAACGCCGTGAACCCTTTGCACACGACAGCCAATTTTCAACAGCTTCTAGATGGAACGGTTGGAAATGCTGAAGTCGCCCGGACGAACACAACCATACCCAGGGAAGACGCGCACTTCAGCTTGATCGAAGAAATCCGAAATGCATACCAGCACGTAAATTCAATGTCAGCTCAAACAAGACCCAAGGCTAAACGGTATATCCAAGCTCAGACTGTCAACGAGTTGATATGTCCCGTAGCATGATAAAAGCAGAGCAGGTTTGGTTGCCTACCGCAATGGCGATGTAATAGACGGAGGCACATCACTTAGCATCGCCACCAACCAAACCACTTTATTGACGCAAAACAAAGGGGTGATCACTATGCACAGTCGTCATTTGGAGAAACACAATTTTCATGGCCGAAAACGATCAATGAGCTCAAGACTAGCAGTTTTGTCCGAGGGACAGGGAGATTAAATGAGCTCGAGGGTCTGCGTGCACGGTTGGCGCAATTGTTCCCAGTCGATACACTCATGTCAGCAAGTGTGCAATTGTGGGACAATTCTCCTTCGGCTCACGGGTCTAACTCGTGTACTGTGGAATTTTCGAACAACGGTGGGGGTCAAGACTTTCCTTTGTGTAAACGCGCTAACTGACTGTGAACAATTCTAGGACAAGATGTGAGCAAAACCCAAAACATGGTTCCAACAAGGCCGAAGCGCAACTATTGACACTGCTATGATGTGTAGAAAGGTCGTCGTGGAATTATGCCAGAGTGCAGAACAGAAGCTAAAGCAAACGGTACCAACGTCGAGTCGTCAAGTAATGCGAGGAAGTCGCAATATTGCCCACCGCGAACAAGACGACCACAAAAGATGGCGTTTACCAATTCCTCATCAAAATGGAAACTACCCTCTAGCGTGTGGAATCGAACTGCACAACTGAAAGTTATCTGTGAAAGTCATAAAAGCAAAACATATCAACACAAGCGAGGTAGCACAGTACTCCAATTCCGAGTAATGAATTCATCATGAATGACATGGGAAGGTGCTCAAAGGACTTTGTACTCCCCATCGAAGCGACCGTATCGTTAGTCATAGTTCAATCCTTTGCGAGATGAATGAAGATTTCTCGATGCTGGCCGTGGGTACAGAACAACTGCAGCAGTGACTGCTGCCTGACGAGTGACCCTGGCCCAGCTTTTCAATGGGTTCACAATAGTTCCTGCATGGATATGCAACCGAGACAAGCGTGGACTTTAGGTCAGTTACATTTGGAAACCGAAGTTGTGCGCCGTGGGCATCACGTGCACCCCCCCGGCCCTCCGCGACGATGAGCTTCACGTGGAAGGATTCGAAGCATCCACCTCCCTACAGCTCTATTGTCGCCGGACTAGATCAGCCCAAGCGTCCAAGTCGCAATAAACCTTGCGCACAATCCGAGGGTTGCCCACAAGTCCTCCCAACTAGCAAACGACCGTCGACAGTGCACTCAAGCACTCGCGAACATGCACAACAAAGCAACGAGAAATCAGTGGAGACGCGCGAACCCCGTGATTTTCGAGAACGTCAATACGACATAGAGATCGCAACAGCTGACGATTACTTTGTCTTGGAAGGCTCTGCCACATCGCAGAGGGCCCTGGAAGCGTAAGGACCCACATGCACGAACGAAACCGACCTTGAAGCCTTTTGTATTGGTAGGGTCAACCGAAGCGCTATCGCGAAAATCCGTGAACAAAATACCTTAATTGAAAGGCTCAAACACGACAAAGCGTTGTTGGAGGAGAAAGTCGCGCTCCTGCAACATGACTTGCGCTTACAACAACAAGTACGACCATCCAGCAGACAATCCTCCTTTTCATCCTCCATCGCGTGCGTATGATAGATGCAGCACAGTTTGGTTGCAAGCAAGATGTCATTGGAAAATTGCCAATTGCCGCACTTGAGCGTCCATGACGGAGTCAAACCCGCACCAGCAGGTGTGCTTTGCGCTTTGTTCGATCTGCACCAACATTGTTGAGCATTTTACTAAAATTTGTTTAGGGCGTTCGCCAGCACGACCGTCGTCTCAAGGCCGAGGTATGGATTGAACTGACTGCGCTGTGAATATTCTTCACAATCGACGTCGGTGACGTGCCATTTGTTAGTAGCAAGTCCACGGAAAGTGTCGGCCATCGTCCAAATCAGCCCTGCCGAGCAGCGCGAATTGGAATCGCTCAGACTCAAAGTTCACAATTTGGAGAAAGAGAAAAAAGTGCGGACTGAGGAATTCGCAACCCAAACAAAGACGTTTCTCCGGCGTATTAAAAAGTTGCAGCAAGAGGTACGATGAGACAACGAAACATGATTAAATCGTAAGCGCCACGTGCAGTTGAGCGAGCGGGAGGACATGGTCATGGAGAAAGAAGCCCAAATCAACGTGCTGCAAATCCGCAGTTTACACCAAGTGCCAATGCTTCAAGGTCAGTTAATCCCCGTCGTCGATCCCATGGTTCACTTGATTTTTTTCTCAGGCGTTCATCCGACTCCACGAATGCTGTCGGATGAAATGTGGCTCTCTGTTCCGCCGTTGAGGACACTGATTGAGTCCAATCCTGGAAAATCCAACGTCAGCGGTGCTTTTGACGCCCTGCTTTCGAAAAAATTTATGGAGTCAATTCGAAAACTCCCTGGCCACCACCAAGAAGCATGGCTGAAAGAACTGCAGGTTGAAGCGTCCCATAGAGTGTTCAACCATCTCATTTCATCATATCCATACAGGAAACCGCGTCCAAACTATCGTTACTGCACACGGGGCTCAAGGCACTATGTGGCGTATTCAACCGCCTTGCATCCTGCAGCGACTTGTACGAGATGGTTCGACTGATTTCTACCGAAGCCTGCGCCCTTGCCAACGCCGAAGAGGCTCGTCACTTCCTTGACAAACGCAATATTCATGCTATTGTTCTGCGCAGGCGTTTGTCTTTGTGGTTGATCCCATTCAAAAGCAAGAATTCTGGAGTCGCATTTGTCGGGCTGACGGAGAAACGATCACGGCGCGGTCCAACATTCCTCACATTTCCCTCGAGTATCAAATGGCTTACAGCGACTACTTGTCGAAACAATCAACTCATGTATCTCACGAAGTCCCCGTACACGTAAGCAACGACCACTCGATTTCACACCATCAGCATGTACCACGGCATAACCCCCTAACGTTGTCTTCGTGTTAATTGTGGTTCCGTAGCACACAAGCCCCAGCCCATCCGGTACATTTGAGCTGATATCCACCATGGACAACGAGGAAATGGCTCAACCAAATCCTGCTCACTTGTCGCAAATTCTATCGCAGCCGTCTCCGGGGTTTGCTTCCTATGTGTTCCACACAAAAGAAGTGCTGAACATCCCCGGGTGCAAAATCTTTGGCCATCCGCTATACAGTGGTGGCCACATGAACTCGGATCGGTTCATTAAACTCAAGAGCTCGTCAACGATGCTTCTCCCTATTTGCGACGGCGACGACCTAGAACCTATTGCCGTCTTGCAGGTGTGCGGAAAAACGCAGCATTTTCGTGGCATGGGGGTGCAAGTGACGGTGGAAAATTGCCAGTCGTTTACCGAAGAAGACAAGTACTTGTTGACTGGCTTGGCAAATTTCTGCAGCGGGCTCTTGGCCAAGGTCATGACGTTCACCGAAGTCGAACGCACACGAAAGAGCGAAACGGTGCTGCTCACCCTGTCCAGGCAAATTTTTACCTGTCTGGACTTTCCAAAATTGTCGTTGCTTGTCATGCAATCCACAAAGGAGCTCCTCGACACAGGTATACAAAACTCAAAAATGCTTTCTATCGATTTTGCAATGAGACGTGTCACAGCAATTTTACCTGTTTTTCGTTGCGTTAGATCGGTGCACGCTGTTTGTGACGAAAACCCTACCAAACAACGGTATGTCAACACGAATGCCAACGATTTGGGCGGAACTGACCAAGATTAGAACATGTGCTATGTGCGTGGCAAAGCGATATCAACAACGGCACAGTCAACCAATCGTGGAGAAATCGAGGTGAGGTTTTCCTCGACTCGCCTGCTGGTCTCGATAACATTCTCTTTGCAGGACATGAGATTGTCGTCCACATGGGCCAAGGTATTGCAGGGGCATGTGCAGAAACCCGGCGCTTGATCAATGTGCCGGATGCGTACGAAGACAAGCGATTCAATCGCGTGCGTTCCATCAGCATTCGTCAATATGGAGATTTCGATGGGACTTTTTTTATATTAGGCCTGGGATGAAAAGACAAAGTACCGCACGAAGAGCATTCTGGCCATGCCAATCATTAGCAGCAAGGACAGTTTGCTGGGAGTGATCCAAATGATCAATAAATCCGGTGGCACGTCGTTCAAGGCCAAAGACGAAGAACACATTGCAATGGTGTCACAGCTGATTGCATTGGCAATGGAGAACAACAACTTGTTTCAAAAGACTCAGGTCAGTCCCGAGTCCTTGGCAAATCATGTCGACACTGTACTACACGAGCCTCTTTATGACATAGGACGTGAGCAAATGCATTGGCACGTACATTCGGCATTTGCCCCTCAACGAAGCGCTGTTGAACATGAACATGCACGCGGAAGAAATCGTGGGCGTGCAGTGCGCGTGCATCTACTTGAACGACGAGCGCACGAGTGAATTGTACACGTTCCACCGAATTCGAAAAACTCGAGTGGATTTAAAGCCGTCCCTTTACAAGTAAGTGCACGTGACAAGACGACGACAACGGCCGCTGATCGCACTTCCAGAAACAGCATCCTCGAAGAAGCCTTGACACTAAAAGAGCCACTGATTGTGAACAACGTGTCTCAATACACACACTACAACCCTACCGTCGATACACTTAACGGCATCGCTGCCCAACAGGTACAACGGCTAGCTATCGCTCGTTGTAGTTTGAATGAACGATGCTGTAGGTGATGTTTGTGCCGCTGTTCCAGTTTGGCAAAACCGGGGTCGACGACCGCGTGTTTATTGGGATGCTGCAGCTCGTGAATCGAAAAGGCACCACCCACGACTTTGACTACGACGATTCGTTGGTTGCTATCATTGCAAATCAAGTGTCCGGGATTCTCATGAGCATCATTGAGCGTCAAGTACGTGAATGGTCGTACGATTTCGCTATCTATGACGAAATTCGATTCTAGACGATGCACCAACTCCACGAAGACACCAAAGTACACTTCCACATGATCCCCATTGCGCGAAGAACGGTCATGCAACGTCACATGTTACCGTGACCGTAGATGCTCCTGGAAACATGCATGTCATTCTACAAAGAGTTGAATCACGTTGGTATCATGAACGCGGTGTACAACGCAACAGTGTCGACTTTTTCAATCGACAAGGGCCAACTCTGGCTCTGGACCGACGATCACACGAGCATGTGGACGTCGAAAGTACCTCCAATCAATCCGTCCATGCTTCGTGCTCACCACTACGTTAGCTGCTTCCGTCCGACGAGATCAAGTTTGTCAACCCCACGTTGCAACGTCGACTATCTGTTTCGTCCATGGAAAGGCTGGAAGTGTCTTGCGCGGAAGGTACGAATCCATCGACTCGTTGGCATGCCGGCTTGGCGCAAACCCGAACGAATTCCATGACGTCGAAAATGACCAGGGCTTCTGAAACGCGTGGTCAGCGAAGGCAAAGTCATATCTGTGCGGCGATGGGACTACATTGTACGAAGCGACAGCGTCCATGCACGTCGGTCGTGACACTGGGTCTTAGGGAGATGGCAACAACCAAGAAGGCATTCAGCGCATCACTTCCACCGACAAGAATGCAAACTTTACCGACTATTCGATCACGGCTTGCCCCGTTTGGGATTCGTTTGGGATTGAAGTCATTGGCGTCGTTATGCTCATGGTACAACTGCACGGGGCACGTCGTTGGTCACGTAGAGGTACAACGTTGTGGTTAGTACCCCCGCGGTCGCAACCTCCACCGCCTGGAGCTGTCGAAAATCCCAATCTTCACTCGACAGGTATCCAGCATGCCATCACAACGCGCAAAAACAGCAACCTGCCTGAACAATTGTCTAGATTACGGGAGCCCTCATGGTGTGCCGCGACGTTTCTCAGCATATTCATCGCGTACAACGGATGCAGGACCTGCTCCACGAGTACACGTCGGCCACTCGCGCGAGTACGTTCGTCCGATATCGACATATCTGCTATAGATCACGCACTGGCGAATTCTCACAGGCGCAACGCTATTCAACATGAGTCTGGTCAGTATTGGGAAACCACCAGCGACGTCCCTCTCGTCGCCGTTTGGGTTTTCCCTGGCAATCAACATCGACAGTTGTGGCGCTCTGCACTCTTCGACGTACCCGATCAACATGTTTACTCGGGGGTTCTCGTTGTGTTCGATCCATGACCTTCTTCGCCTGCCCGTGGACGCCAAGGGCAATCGCCACGTCATTCAAGTAACGGCAGCGTCGCAGCCCCACTACGAAAGCAATCACTTTGACAAATGGTGCGAATGAGTCTTGCTACAACTCGACTTGTTGGGATGTTGCTGATGGTCGTTGGTTTGGTTCGACCGAACAGGATGGGCCGAGATGTTGTGGCCGGCGACTGGGAAAAAATCAAATACGACCTCCACAACGCTTTCAGTCGCAAGGAAACGCTGACGGCGTACTACAGCGGGACGCATGCTCAGTCGCTGAGTTTTGTCAACACGATGGAGACTGTGATTTCGTCCGCCGCCCAAAACTCCATCGCCAACGGCGGCGGTGGACCGCGTGTGCCAAAACCCAACGATGTTCCCGACGCCATTCGCCGCGAAATTGCCGTGTTTCTGTGGCAGTTTTGCTCGGCCGATCTGAAGATCCATTTGGACAAAGTGTTTGCGCTGTTCGCGCCGCACGACCCGAACGGGACGGGGTGCGTCGACCCCGCCGATTTTGAGTTCGTCGTCAAGGCGTGGGGCGTCCATCTCAACCACCATGTACGTCCACTGCCCCGCGGCGTGCTTGGCGGCACATGAGCAGTAGAACCGAGAAAACTCATGCTGCCATGTTGCTAGGACTATGATGCGCTATACAAGTGCTTTGCAATGCCAACGGCGCTCACCGAGGAATTGCCGTACGGCGACGACGGCATGGACGTTCCATACAGCATCGACTACAGGTACCGTTGCCTCGCGGATGGCCTCGGCGTCGAGTAGAGCGACGTCTCATGCGCACGTGTTCGATCTCAATGCACATAGGACTGTATTCGAGACGATGGCGCCACACTTCATCCGGCACACGCACTTCCAGCACGAGATCTTTCCAACGCTGCATCCCACGACGCATGCCATCACGAGCGTCCAGCTCTTCTTCACGCCCATGAGCCACGACGGCGTCTCGGTGCCGACAGCCGTCATCGACAGCGACGAAAGCATGTAGTAGTTTGTTCATCGGCGTGTGCAATTCTGCATTTACACACCAGTCGTCGCTGCATTTACTCGTTGCTCTTGACTGGCACGGCATTCCACGTCAACGAGAGCTTGACGACGACCACTACATGCAACAACGCGACGAGACCCGTGGCGACGGCTTGGCCCGAGGCGCCCAGATTGGCGCGTCCCCATCCACCGCTGTAAAGCCCAAGGGACACGGCAGCGCCTGCATTCCACACAAGATGGACGTTGTCACACGGGGTAGGTAGAGAAGGACGACATACCAGACACGACAAAGTTGATCACGCCGAAGATGCGATGCGCGGCGTCTTTCCATTGCCAGTTCCATGTCTTGCCAAACGTCTTTAGCGCGCCCTAGTGCATTCGTCAGCATCCCGAGAGAGAGGGAGCGTTGATGGGTACCAAGACGAAGCTCAAGTAGTAGAGCGTGATGGCAGCACATCCGACCCACGAATGCGTCGTGGTGAAATGCGGACGGTTGTTGTTGTCCTTGTTAATGTAAATCGCGCTGAACCCGACGGTGGCCAGGACCACAGACACGGTCTGCATGAACGCGTGCCACTGCACAAGCGATGTCCTGTGTCCGTCATCACCACAGGGGCAGAACTAGCGGGAGGAGTCGTCGTACCGTTTCGCGTGGTTCGATTCAACGCGGCGATCGCTCATCGCAAGGAGGGCGCTGCCGTATCGACACGGCGGTCGAGTTAGCCATGCGTTTGTCGATGTGAAACGTACGAAGGAGTTGCAAGGACATACGCAGCGACCAACGTGATGGGGTGCCATGAGAAGAGCACGACGGGCTGCCCGCGCCCAAAGGTGAGGTATCCGATCCATCCCACGACTGTCGCGCCGAGCGCGAGCGCCACGGACTTGAGCGCCATCGTGGAGCAAAGTGACGTGGCTGGATTTTGGAAGGGGAACCGCGCGTATTCCGGATAAGGCGAATCATCCGGTTATTGGTATCCGTATCCGAAAAGGGCCCGTTTGGCACACGTCGGCAGCTTCAACGAGCGCAATGAATGGCAAAGGCGGCAAGAAGCGCAAGGCAACATCAACGTCCGTCGAGGACGAGATCGCCGCGGTGAACGAGATTCTTCAGTCGGAGACGACAGCGAGAGGTACGTGTCGTCCACACTGCAAACGGATTGATGCATCATGTGCAGAGTCGTGGCAAATCGGAAAGCGACTCAAGACGTTGATTGATGCCCACCCAGACATGACGAAAATGCAGCTCGGAAACACCATGTGCATGTGGGGAACGGCGATTTCCCGCATTGCGTCCGAGAACGACGATGCAACGTTGGCGGAGGCTGCCATGGATAAATTCCAACAAGCATTGACTCTCCTCGGTCAACAAGAGATGGGTCCGTACGGCATGGCACTATACGGCAGCACTTCCATGATAGTCGCAACAGAGAAACAAGACCGGTGCGAACGAGCTGTCCCCGTGCATTTTCAATCTTGCCTCACTCGGAAGGTACAGGACGGTACTGGAGGCAGCACTGGCGCAATTTGAAGCCGCCGTGTCCATGGACACCCCCGAAGCGTTCGAGTCGCCTTTTCAATACGCAAAGGCTTTGAAAGAAGGGTCTGTACTAGTTCAGCACCTCTTGGGTACTCCCCATTGACCCAAATTCGCTCTCGAGTCCGACGACCCACTTCGATCTAGATACTGCCGCCACGTCCACCGACAACACCGCCGAGGTGTCGTCAACACCATCCTTCCAGTCCCCCGCGGCACTGCAGCAAAAGGTACACGCGCCAGACTTCGTTTAACAACGCTACGAGCGACTGAATCTCTTCTCTCTGCCTGCATCAGGGTCTCGACATCTGCGCCAACATCCTTAAGCACCACGCCTCCGTTCTCGATGGCTCCAGTGCCCACACCCGTGCGTTGGACTTGCGCTTGGCTTTGACCGACCTTCATGCTTGTTTGCATCGACTTAGAGCAAACAGCGGAAGCGGAAGATGCCCATGATGACGACGATGAAGAAGAAGTCGAGGACGAAGTGACAAAGGAAGATTTGTCCGAAGTCATATTGCTCCAAGCCCAGCTCACGGCGCTCTTGGCCGCGTCCAAGCCCGCCGCCGACACGTCGCCCGACGCCATCTACGACATGTTCAAGCAAGCGTTCGGTACCCTCGACATTATCCTGTCAACCCATGTCAGCGTGTGTGGCTAGAACTCCATCCCGAAAACGTGAACGCGTTGATTGAGATGAACTCGTTCGTGTGCCGCCTCGGCATAAATCGTACGTCGATCGCTTGCGCAGTGTTTCGATCCAAGACGACCGTTTATGTAGCGTCGGGCGCTGCGTGGGTCCTGCCTCGGCTCGAGTGGATGCAGCAACAGCTCGATCGCGTCCTGCACGAGCTCGACTTTGACCTCGACTCGTGCTTTGAGGTACCGTCGTCGCTCTTCGTTCCGTTCTTCGTTCCAGTTGCTTCCATGGCGCTGCTGCTCATGGCGATCGACTGATCGTCGTGGCGATCCGCGCTGGATGGCTCCAAGTTGTCGACTTGATCGGGAGTTGACGCCTGCTCTGATGGCCGTAGCATGTCATGCGCGAATCCAAGCTAGACAAGCCCAAGGAAGTCAACGAGTGTGTACCCAAGATCCTGGACGTTCTCGGGCGAAATCTCCTGCGTCAACTCCAAGCGTGCGCAGTAGTCGCGAACGAACACAAGACGTCAGCAGCAGCAGCAGCGCTGCATGCACACGCCCTCAAGGTGCTCCAGTGCGCCCACCACCTTCACGACACGTTTGGGTGCTACTCCCTCGCCAAGCTCCACGCCCTGCCAGCGTTTGTGAACCCCACCGAGTGCCACGTCTGGCTCGAAACGTGCGAAAGCTACGGCGTGTTGGACGACGAGTTCAACGCCGCTGATTTTGCCACGATGACCAACGAGCCATGGTACAGCGCGTTCGCCGCACCCAATGGCACACTCCGCCCGGTTGTGCAGGCCGACTTCTTGCTTGCCCCGTCCGATTCGATCCAGTAACAGATAAAACATCCGAGACCTCGTCGTCACCAGTATCTCGTCGATGCGGTCGCCTTGCAAAGAACGGCGCGATTCCAGGACGTTTGGATTTGCCTCTCTTACAAGTACAACCGGGTGCCGCACAGCACTCGCTGTGTCAGCTCCTGCCGCACTGACGGGACTGCAGCACACCCGCGCGCCGGATCCGACGTGTACTCGAACGTGAGCCATCCCGTCCGCCTCGGCCCGTCTTCTGCCGTGACATCGTCCTATTCGCATCAAGACCGTGACTTTTCATCGCCGACGACACACGTACATTCGCCCACGACTTAGGCAGCTCCCACCCGGGAATCGGTGGCTCTCCTCGCACCCATCCAAACGACTCGTTGATCCAGTTCTCGCCCTACCAGAGCGCGCCACCACATCAGACGGACCGCTGCCACCACCACACACTCGATTATCCACCGCCCCGCTGAGCCAACACACGAACGGGCGGGCCACAACGGCTCACGGCACGATCCCGTTTGCGTGGACGAGGAGGCAGCGCATGCCATGCAAAACGATCGCAAGCCACGAACCGGTTCGGAGACGGCGAGTTTGACAAAGATCTTGGCGGCCTCGCGCTCTTCCCGGCTCGACAAGTCGAATTCGTAGTATCGATCGGGGTGCAGCGGGTTGAGAATATTGAGCCATCCAAGAACGCGGGCGCATTCGTTCTTTTCGGGAAACGACAGCGCGTCGAAAATCTAGCCGACCATGTCGATCACGTCATGCCGTGCGTGTCCGGGCGACGATGGGGATCCTACCTCCATGAAGTTCTCGATGTCGATGACGCGCGGGAACAGCAACCGACACGTGTCTGTCTTGCCGCCGTGCGCGCTCGGCATGCACCGCACGATTTCGGCCGCCTGCGTGCATGCATCCAATATCCCGTGGTCGACGGAGATGCCCGTGGCGTCGTACCTGGTCCACGGAAAGCCAACGATCGCATACCGCGGCTTCGATTTGAAACAACTTGTACCCAATGTCTTCCTTGGTGTGGCTGTGGACGTGAAAAGCCTGGCACGGACTCCTGTGAGCTCGTCCGCGGCATCGGAACGGCATGTCCGTACCATTTGGACGTTGCGAATCCACTTTTTGAACTTGCGATACCGCACGGCGTTCCGGACGAGGTCCCACCGGTCTTTGACACTGTGCCGACGGCGCCGCGTCGGGATCGCGTCCAGGCGGAGCTCCGTCCGGCTGTCCCGTGCGATTTGCGCCAGCAGTTGCTGGTACCGCCGGTCGCTCATGGGCTTGGTCCCGCGCGTCGGTCGGGTCGTCGACACATAGTCAAATTCGAGTTTGCCCTTTTGCGGCATCGTTTGAAAGAAATGCGACGTCAAAATCGTCGGCTTCCCGTCGAGCCATTCGTTCCGAAAGTTTTCCCAATTGCCATGCTGCGACGTGTCTACGCCATGGATATCCCGTCAAATCGACAACGGCGCCGCCCAACACGTTCGTACCGCCGCGGCCCGACCTCGATTTTGAAAACTGCTTCTCGGCTTGGGCAATTTCGGCGAGTTTGGCGAGGGCTTGCCGGTCCTGTGGCCGCGCCAAATCGAGGTTGTAATGGTTGGTTGGAAGGCCGAGAAGCGGGAAATACAGCGCGCCAAGGCGCAACCGCAGCGAGAACCGCTCGGACGTTGTCAGGACTCGCTTCACGAGGGTCTGCGCTTCCTTGATGGATGTCAGCTGTGGCAAGACCTTGGCCACGGCCCCCACGCGTTTGGTTTCATGCATGTCGCCGCAGCTTTCCATGAGGACGATGGCTTGCGCAGCAGTCATTCGGATCTCTGTCTCATGGACCTAACGCATGGGTTCGTGACGCATGGCGGACGAGACACCAGAAGCCGCCCCCATGGCAGCGTCGCCAAAAGGACCAACGGCATGCAAGTCAGTGCCACGACATCGACACGTACGGCGACGTTGAGGAGCTCTGCCTGCTGCATCGTTTCCTTGCCGCGCTCCACGGACTGCACAAGCTTTTTCAATCCGTTCTCGGACAGTCCTACAACCAAGTGAATCAAGTCCACCGCGGTCTGGCTCGACGAACGCCGCCAAGCGGCGTCGACGCATCGCGTACCGTAGCACATGAAGCTCTCGCGGTCATTCATCAACTCGCGCTCGTACACAAACGTAATGTCGAGAAAACCCGTGGATGGCACGGTCCAGACGGCGCCAGAACTTTCGTCGCGGAGGGCCAGCGACTCGACCGAGTGCGCGGCGTGGTGCTGGTTCAACTTTTGAATCACCTGGACCCCCCCACCATGGCATCACATCCGTCACGACCGTGTCATGGAACGTACTTGGTGCTTCATCAGCTCGACAAACTCGTCCTCTTCGATCGTGCCGCTGCCATCGACGTCGTACGTGTTCATCGCGGCTTGGACATCTTCCTCCGTCGCTTTGGCGCCCAACACCTGGCCACATCCATCGTGAGTGCCAAACAACACGCCACCGCCGGGCAAACATCGAGGCCAAACGCACCACAAACGCCTGGCGCAGCTCGTCCATGTCGATCGTTCCCGACGCATTCGCATCGATCGTGCGAAACACGGCATGAAAGAGCCCGCCGCCACTCAATTCCGCTTCATCAATCGTTCCACTGCCGTCCGTGTCGATCTTGTTGAACAGAGTCTCTACAACAGTCCACATGAAATGGGCAGCGCCGGAGACGACGAACCGGTTTGGTCGAGTGCCGGTTGAAAGCCAAGCTCGAGGAGGACCCCGTGGAGCTCGGACAGCGTGATGCACCCCGCGGACTTGGTGTCCATGTCGTGGAAGGACAGGTCGAGCAGCGTCTTGTTGACGCCTCGCGCACGCGCGGGCCGGCTGGGTGGCTGCTCCTGTCGAACCAGTTTGATCGTCTGCGTAAGTTTTTTGGGAGCGTCGCGCGTCGGCTTGGCTTCGAGTTTGGCAAAGGAACACCCCTTCTTGACCGTCGCGAGGCGTAGCAGCTCGGTCGCGACCATGTTATCGTACGGGTCAGCGCAGTCGAGGACGTAATCGCCCGCCGGCTCCATCGGGTCAAATACTTTGGCCTGGGTGCGTTCGTTCAAGTTGCATCCTTTCATGCTCACCGTGCACCCGTCTACAAGCAGCGTCGTCTGGAGTGAGAGCTCGGCGCGCTTTGCAGCCATTCATGTCGTGCGAATCGCACGATCCGTTCATGCACACGTCCTCGATGCGACCACCAGCACCCGAGGCCCCACTGCACGAGAATTCGTGGCACCAGCGGGCCGACGGCCACGTCCGATGGCATCGCCGCATGGACAAACGGATGGCTCGAGTCGAACACCCGACATCGACACGTAATACATGCAGGACGTACTCGGCGTGCGGTTGTGCACCATGGCGTACATGAGGACTTTTCCGCCGGGCTGGCCGATGTTGTTGCCGTCCAAGACGAGCGACGAAATCGTGCGGCTGCGAGAGACTGTCGACGCGAGGACGGACGCGCCTTTCGTTCCCACGTTGTTGTACGACATATCCAAGAGCCGCAGCGTTTTGTTGATGCACAGCGACTGCCCGAACGCCATCGCGCCCGCGTCGCCTAGCGCGTTGTACGCCAAATTGAGCTCGAACAGGTTGTAGTTGAGCTTTAGCGAATTCGCCAGCGTGACGCCGCTGACGACGAGTGAGTCCAGCGACAGCACGAGGAAGGGCGGGGGTGGAGTGTACCTAGCAAGGCGCAGGAGGTTCCAAGACACATCCAACTGCGTCAGGGTCAAGTTGACGTTGAGCATGCCTCCGATCGCTTCACCCCCCGTGACAAAGTCCGGCTGGACAACGTTCAAATTCTCGGCTTCGCCGATGCGGTTCCGGCTCATGCGGAGCTGGACGACGGACTTGTTGGCTACAGATCACGTGACAAAAGCGCCATCTCGCGCGCGCGATATTCCGCGAAAGGCACACGAATCATGGCAAGATCGATCCCAAACAACACAACAACGTCGGGTGGTTGGATGCGGAGCCGCCGGTCGACGGGCATCGGACGTACCTTCGAACGCGACCATGAAAGCAGCGCACTCCGAGTCGTCAATGTCGGCCATGCATACCCCCAGATGGGTCAGCGTGCACATGGGGGACCCGATGTACGCCTTGAGGGTCTTGGCACTGCGGGCACCGACTTGGTTCATCGAGATGTCGAGTTTGGTCAAGTTGGGTTTTGTTTCGAGCGCCTGAAGGAGCTGGTTCAGCGCGCGGTCCGTCAGCCGGTTGTCGCACACGTTGATCGACTCGACGAACGGAACGTCCCGCAGCGCTGGGTGATCGGTGCCACATGAGGAGATTTTTGGGATGCCACCACACGATGTACCTTTGGCAAACTCGGTCAGGAATGCGTCGCCGAGGCTTTGGTACGAAAAGTCGAATGCAGTCGTGCCGTGCTTTCGAATGAGGATGGGGAGCGCGATCGGCAGATTGCCCGTGTTCGACAGGCACGCGCTGAGAAACATGGTGCGGGGGCTCATCTTGACTTCGTTCGCGTTGGCCACACGCGGCGGTTGGGTCGATTGGCGGGGCGATGGCGGCTTGGCCGGAACAGCGGGGAGGTAGTCGTAGTGGCTCATGCGTGGCGGCGTGCTGTCGTCCTTGCCTGGATGGGCAGCAGACCGACCGTCGTTGGCGGCACTGGGATCTTGGCCTTTTGGCGGCGAATGGACCGATGGGAGGCTCGTGTCGTGGTGGTGGGCCCTCTGCGGCGATGGGAGATGCAACGGCGGCTGATGCGGCACAGCCATGAAACAATGCGGCTTTGCGTGTAGACCGGCGTACCTACAGGCACGACGTGACCGACATGCTGTTTCGAATGCGAGATGGCTCACTTGGCGAAGAATTTGCCGCGCGCGGCCAGCCCAAAGTACGATTCCTTCATTTGCTGGGCGACGTCTGCATCTTCGTCCGGCTCGTCGTCTGAGGAGCTGTTTTCGCCGCCATCGTGTGCAAGGGCCGTCTTGACATCGCGCATGCGGCGCTCGGGAACTGACGGCGACATCAGGCGGGTCACGTCGTCGGCGTCGGCGTCGATCTATCGCGATGACCACGTTTACAGGACACAATGGTGGCGCACATATGGCCGCGTACAAAGGTGGCGTCGGGGGACGTGAACACGTAGGAGTGGGGGGCTTGCGGCGTATACTTGGACAAGAGGTTGTCCCGGATGCCAGCTCGCGCGTCAGCGCAGATTTTGAACTTGGACAGGAGAGCATCGATTTCGTCCTCTTTTTCCGCAGACGACACGGCCGACGAGCTACATACGGCGCCGCATGCGCGTGAATGCATGCAATGCTCGCGATGGAAGGAGAAAGCTGCGGACCGTTTCGATGGAGATGGCGGGTTGCTACTCGCGCCGGAACGAGCTTCGTCCGCGGACGACGCTGGCAACATGGAAGGAAGCACGTTCTTGAGGGGGCTCGCTCGCTTGGACGGAGTTTTCGGGCCCGTGGGTTCGAGCAAGTCCGACTCCCAGCTCACACGCCCTCTCCATTTGATCTCAACATGTTCCTCGCCGCCACGTTTTCGATCGGGGGATGGAGTTTGGTGTGATTTTGACGGGGAATGGCTCGGGGTGGCGGACTGCCGAGACGCCTTGGTCAGCGCGGCCTGCAATCGGGGCTTCCATGTACCATTAAAGCATGCTGACCACGTTCGATAACCTACCTCGTCGTGCTCTGGAAAGAGCGACACCGTAGCAGTGTGCTGGGACGTTTTACCGCCCTGGAGAAAGTCGAGCGATGGGGATGGCGACGTGTCGGCGGGAATATCCGGGAATGCCGACGTGACGCCGGGGATATCAACGTTCTGACTTGAGTTTCTAGGACAGGGACATGCGTCATCTCGGCGTTGTTGCCTGAGTCGACTCGGGAGACTTACTTGTACCAAGGCATCTTGGCCTGGAGCATCGCAGCCTTCTTGTCGTACACGTTCTGGAGGTGTTTGGAGGACGATCCTTTGCCGCCCTCTTCGGGCGTCTGTACCGCCGCTTCCATGCTGCACAGCGCGCTTTGTTATCACGTCGACGTTGGCACGAAACGGTGTCGTGGAGTTACTCGTAGTCGCCCATTTTCCCCGAATTATTTGACAATCATTTTCCATTTCACCCGAATTAGTTGAAAATGATTTTCCATTTTTTATCCGAATTGTTTGCGACGGGAAAACAATGAGACCCCCGTCGAGCCTCCACGAATTGCTTTGGCCCCAGACATAAACGATTAACCATTACTCCGGATTTGAAGTGTTCATTATACTTAAATAGTAGGTGACTCTTCAAGTTGTCGTATTCCATATTTATGATGAACTTGGCTTCATAGGCCTTGATTTGAGATGGGAGGACGTTTCTTGTAGCGTATGCCCGCTACAAGAAACGTCCTCCATCAAGGCATGGGTTGTGAGTATCTCATACTTCCTTGGGGGTGCGGGGGATCTTGAGCACATTCCACTAAGTGTCTTCTTCCGCGGCAGAATGGTGCGGTGAAACGATCGTTCCTTCTTGTGCCTTTCGCAGGGCAATGGGAGGACTGCGGCATCTGCTGGATCTTGAATATGTGCATCCACAGGGGCGGTATCTTGGTGGGATCGTGAGCAATCGCGGTGCTGCTGCTTGATGTCGCCTGTTTGACGGAAGCAATTGGCAGGTGACTGTCGATCGGCGAGGAAGTGGCGACACGAAGTTGGCGGAAACCAAGAGTGGATGACTGCTGTTGGTAATGGAGGCGGTTTGTTGTCTACCACCAATGGGTAACTGCTGTGCGGAATCTTTAATTTTCAAACGTGCCTTGCGCGCCACAACTTGACCAGTTGGTGTTAATGGTGTGTCTTGGTATCGGAGTCGCAACTGTTGACGCAATGAGCTGGCGGACGAGCTGGCCTGTTGCTGGGGTTGTTGTCTTCGAGTTGAAGTGAAAGTGCCTTGGTGGACCCGATCGCGGCAGCGGCAGCTTCTGCGACACTTTTTAATCCAAAATGTTGTAAGCAAAAAATACGCTCATTTCAGCTTGCTGCTTGAGTCGTGTCGAAGTCGGTGGCCGTTGTTGTCAAGGGCGCGGACGGCAATAAGCCAAGTTGGTAGCTGACCTTGAAAAGCTTGTACTTGTTATTGGGTATAGAGATGGCGAGCGTAACTTGTGTAAAATCTGCTTAGTCGAAAGGGCTTGATTGTTGTTCGTTGTCATGGAGCGGAAACGGTAAGCACGTGGGCTCGGTCGGCAAAGCGGTGGTTGGACGAGATTTTTACAGGCGGTGTGGGTGTGTTCTTGACCTTGCCGCACGGGAACAGGGTTTTGTTGGGTTGGAGTTGTGCCAGGCGGGTCGGTATGGGTAGCAGCGTCTTGGAGAAAGGCTTGGTAGGTTGTACCGCCGGGTAGCAGCAGTGAACAGAAACGGTGAAATTTCCTTCTGTCGGGGCCGTCGATACGCTTGAGATGAACTTGTATGTGTAGCCATAGGTATGCTTGAATCTCGGCGTCGAGTGTCAGCGTGTCTGGAAAGACTTCATCGTAAAGAAGGAGGTTGCGTTGAAGCCAGAGCTATCGAAAGCAAATCGCCCGGATGAAGTGAAGAAGGGAAAAGACGGTGTCCTGTTAGGTTGTATTGTGTTCCGCGGTGATGCTGGTTGAATCAGTAAACAGGATATCTCGCCAGTGTAGCTTGCTGCTGATGTCTTCAAACGGTGCAAGATAACATTGTCATACGCGCTGAGCATGCGGACAGTCCCAAAATAAGTGCTTGGCATCTTCGGTTGAGACGCAGCCGCGGACGCAAGTAGCCCGAACGCTAGGCGTACTTGTAAAGGAATCCCAATGCATTGTGTTGGAGTCGGAATTTCACTTCACGAAATACGGGTAGCAAAGACTTGTCCATCGAGATATCGCGCTGCCATCGTGAGTGCCAGTGGACTGGCCTTTGTATGCCAAGTCTTGGTAGTTGGATAGTTGGGATCTTGGTCTGGTGGAGTCATTTACGTATGGTGAAGGGTGTGGTTAGTTCCAGTGTCTTGGATTCGGTCGTCCAGTCGTGATGGGCTGCAGGTAGATGAACTTGGAAGTTGAGGCCGAACGGACATGTCGAAATTCGTGCTATGAGTGGCCGTAGGTGTGCTGCAATCGCCGGACCTGCAACTGCTGCTATTCGGGGAGGTCCTAACCAGTGGAGCATCTCGGTGAAAGCTTGCGAGATATTGGTGTCACCTTGAATGACATCCCAGAGTCGGATGATGGGGTAGTTGAGGATCTTGAAGAGGTGTGTTGTGTGCGTAAGGGAGCAGACGGGTCGTTGGGTCGTTGTGCATCCATATGCGATCAAGAAGGGGATGTGGCAGAGGTTCAGCGAGTCCATGGACGAGAGCGGGCGTGGTATAGTCACTTCGCTCCATATAAAGAGGACTTGATGAAGATATGGTCCAAGAATGCGGCCGTTCTATTCAAGGCCGTATTTGGCCGGTTGTTGGAGTCGAAGATTTATCATATCCATTCCTACGCCATAGACACCCAGAGCTTGACTGAACAATGTTATTGCCGGCAGCAGCCATTTGGGTGTGGTGTTGGGGTTGCGGCGTATCTGTCGAAGTCAGCCCGCAAGTAT